CTCACTCCAATTTCAGTAACATTTCAATTTTTCCTAAAAAAAACTAAAGAACTTCAAGCTATCTAAATTTCAGCAAAATTACTTAACAAACACAGTGCAAAGCAGCCTTAAAAAAAGGCTCAAGATAACAATACCCTTATTTCAGTGTTTAGCAAATTAACTTTGGTCACTATTATATATATTGCAAAAGATAATACCGCTATGTTCCAAAAAGGGTCCTATTATATACTCCCTCCATCGTCGATCTACTTTTGATAGTCATATTTCCAAATCTGAAAAATTTATTTTTGATAGGCATATTTCAATCCAACAACTTATCATCTTAATGACTTTCTTAGATTTAATGCGTGACCCTCCATTTTTCCACACAAGATTAGCTACATGGACATCGAGAAATGTAAATATTAATGAATCACTTGTTTACGAGGAATGACTAGCTAGTAGCATGTTTAAATTAATGATAAATAGAATCACTTATCCTTGATCTGTGTGCTAAGATGAAATATGACCATCAAAAGTAGATGTAGATGGAAGGAGTATTACAGAAGATAATACCGCTATGTTCAAAAAGGGTACAGCCTGGTCAAAGCCCCCACCCCCAACTCAAAATGTAGGTTTGTCTGGTTTTAGTTCGACGCGGTAAATAATGTGACATATACATGGCATTAGGCTGACAAAGCCACCGCCACGCCCCCTGCCCCCTAGTATGAAATTAATAAAGTTAGCGAGCATGCGTGTGTGTATGTGTATATCGCTAGCTAGCACAAACACACAATGATGCTTTCCTCCTCTCTTAACCACCCTTTCTCGTTGATGCTTTCCTCCTCTCCTATCCACCCTTTCTCGTATGCCGTCAATGTCGGCATATCGATGCCAAGGAACTTGAGCATGTAGCTAGTGATTTGTGGCAAAGGTCACAAATTTCCAACCACGACCCAAGCAAGGGTCAAGGCACGAAGGCACCACCCGCGTCATTATCATCCGGCATTTGTGAAGTGCACCAGCGGTCCCTAAACTTGTCCGGGTGTGTCATCTGGGTCCCTGAACTCTCAAAATACATTTTTTGTCCTCGAACTTGTCTTGGGTGTTATATAGGTCCATCCGATGACGTGGCATGCCACGGAGGCGCCTACGTGTCGGTGGGGACCCCACATGTCATTCATATGTATAAAAATAAAATTAAAAACCATATTTTCTCCTCTCTACCTCCGCGTCGAGCTCCGCCGCCTCCACTCACCGGCATGCGCGCGCCGGCCTACGTGCGTCGGCTCCGCCATGCTGGCCTCCTCGCCGCAGGCGATGCCGCACCCGCCTCGGCCTGGGCAGCCTCAGATGGCCCTCCGCGTCGAGCTCCGCCACCTCCGCCGGTTGCACCGGCTTCCGTGCACCGGCCTCCGCGCCGCAAGTGACGCCGCACTCGCCTCGCCCGAGGCCGTTTCCTCGGCACCTCCGCTGTCGACGTCGCGACCTCGCGCAGCTCGCCGCCGCCACCACCACGTGCGACTCCGCCGGTCACGCGCGGCTACGTCGCCTCCCCACCCAGGCGCGACACGGCGAACCCCTCATGCGAATGCATGTGGGTCCCCACCGAGGCGCCGGCGCGGCAAGGCGGCGTTGCCGCGCGCGGCCAGCTGTTAACGACCAAATTTGGTAATCTGAGTATCGGGGATAAAGATTAGATCGAAGCGGAATCGAAGATGAAGATCGTTTCAGAAACAGAGTAAGAATCGACTGGAGTCCAAATCGGCTACGACAAGGGTTGGTTGAGTTCAAGTCAGACTTGATAAGCCGATACAACCGATTCCGACAATATGACTCAGTGTGCATCATCGGGTTGAGTTAATGTGCTTCATATGAATTGCCACATACGGATTGAGTCCTAAGAAGGCAATTGTATCTATTAATTAGGATATTTTATGTAATTTTCTTAGAGATATGTTTGGGCAAAAGTCTGCCGCAAAGACTTATGGTATCTTAGAATTTGTTAGAGATAAAAGTCATGTCCGAGATGGACATATCTTGTAATTCTCGGGTATAAATAGACCCGAACCCCATGTAATCGAATTAACACACGTTCAATACAATCTTGGCGCATTGCCACCCTTTTTGCTTTTGTTTTATTTCGACGAGTTCTTGCTTTCGGGTTGAGCTACATCGGTTTTGATCTTCAACAAGAGGTAAAACTTGTTATGGCGGCTTGCGTTCTCGGGATTAGTGCTTCCATCTTTATGATACTCTAATTTTGTTTATGTAATTCGTCGAGTTATTATATATCTTACATAATCTCCGGCAATATCGTTATCTAACCTACAATCGGCTAACATTTGCCAGTAGAGGGCAGCCGATTAGGTTAAATACTGATGTTGGCTTAGATTATATAAGGTATCTACCACTCTATGACACTTTCAATGGCTTGATTGTCTAGATATTGTCTTTCTTTTTATACTTATAGCTGCATCAGTTAAGTTTGATCTTATGAGTCGTGAGTAGAATCTCAATCTCTAGCCTACTTCTTGGTTGTCGATTAGGGTAGTATCGGGGTTTCAGCCGATCTTACCTGATTTAACCATCTTTTCCTCATACGCTTTATTTACATGTTAAATCTGCCCTTTATGTTAAGATCTTGTCACATTTAAATATATTAGGCTTTTGTTTGGTATATTTCACTTGCTTTAATATATTAACATAGAGTGGTATTGGAGTATTAGCCGATACATGCTAGATCTATCTGATCGGCTATGCTATGAACATATATGGTCTCTTGTTAGCATATATTTCGATCTAAGTGATTTATACTGTCTCGGCATGGCGACCGATCTATCCCAATCACTTGATTCAAGTATATATCGACATAAGGATTGCATATCGTTAATATCTACAGCCGATCGAGTAGATTTAGTTCTTTCTTACCTATTAATGACTGCCGATCGATGCATTTATGACATCGGCTCAAAGATAAATGATATGTCATCGGCACCTAGCCGATCGGCTATCGTTTATAGGTTTAACCGTGGTTTCTTTGTCCTTCTTTCTTGTTGATTGCAGGATCAAATCAACTGGCACGCTCATACACCCAAAGGCAAGTTTTGGACCTGTACTGGAGTTAAGCAGATCTCCTAGGCCTCGTGTTTTCACGTCAACACCAGCAGATCGCAGCGACCGAGCGAGACCACAGTGGCGGTCCCGGAGGTGGAGTCGTCCGGGGCCTTGACGCAGATGCGGAGGTGATGCGGCGGAAGGTGGCTCGCACGAGGCCGCGCGTCTGGCGTCATGGCGGAGTTCGGCGGAATGGTGCGAGGCCACGGCAGTACCTCTCGGAGGCGGAGCCGCGGTAGACCTTGCTCATGACGCTGGAACCGGCTCCGAGCACCACGGCTAACCGGGGGAAACCGCGGCGGCGGAGCGAAGCTAACGAGAAGGCGGCCTCGCGCGAGCACGCAGGCATGGCTGCAGGTTGCCTCGCTCCTGCACCTTGCCACATGAATAGGGCCATGCACTGCATGCATCTATCCACACGTGCTACCAAGCAGAGGCTGCGGAGTCGCGTGGTGCCAGCGGAGGGTGCCGGTTGCCGCTCATGGCGGCGCCGCTAGGAGCTCGCGCAGGCGGACATAAGCGGACTCGGCTGCGGTCGACGCGGAGGTGGCTCCGCACGGCATTGGTTGGTGGCGGAGGCCAGCGAGTAGTTGCGGCGGTCTGGCCACCGTGTCACGCGGAGGGGTTCGCCGTGTCGCGCTTGGGCGGGGAGCCGGGGAGGCGACGTAGCCGCGCGCGGCTGGCGGAGTCGCACGTGGCGGCGGCGGCGGCGAGCCACACGAGGTCGCGACGTCGACAGCGGAGGTGCCGAGGAAACGGCCTCGGGCGAGGTGAGTGCGGCGTCGCTTGCGGCGCGGAGGCCAGTGCACGAAAGCCGGTGCAACCGGCGGAGGCGGTGGAGCTCGACGTGGAGGGCCGGTTGAGGCTGCCCGGGCCGAGGCGGGTGCGGCATCGCCCGCGGCGAGGAGGCCAGCATGACGGAGCCGACGCACGTAGGCCGGCGGCCGGCGCGCGCATGCCAGTGAGCGGAGGCGGTGGAGCTCGACGCGGAGTAGAGAGGAGAAAATATGGTTTTTAATTTTATTTTTATATATATGACTGACATGTGGGGTTCCCACCGACACGTAGGTGCCACTGTGGAATGCCACGTCATCGGATGGACCTATATTAACACCCAAGACAAGTTTAGGGACCCAAAAATATATCTTAAGAGTTCAAGGACCTAGATGACACACCCGGACAAGTTTAGGGACCGCTGGTGCACTTCACTCTTTCTAATAAAATGAAAAGTCTAATATAAATTGTACACGATAAAACGTAGCAACGGGGCAAACTATCATGTCAGCATGTGCATATTATTCATCACAACCAAAAACTGACACGTCAGGCCAACATCTATTGACTGGGCAAGTGTATTTTGTTGTCAGCTAGCAGTATTATTATTAACTAATTTTTACGACGCAATGCATAAGTGTTATGCAAAATCATATGGACCTGTTCGTATAGGGTGCACAGACGGAAGTACACCAGACCAGAGTTTCAGTTGCATATATACTTCCCCATCCAAAAAAAACAGCTCAAAACTCAACTTAGAAAGTGATATGACCCCTCCTATTACAACGATTCTAGATAACACTTTGTCCAGATTCATTGTAACATTAGAGATCACATTATCTTCTAGGTTGAGCTTTTTTTTAGACGGAGGAAGTACACTAGACCATAATCTAAGTACACCAGACCAGAGTTTCAGTTGCATACCAGAATCTATGGCTAATAAATGAGCACCTCGCAACCTCTCATCAGCCATCAAACAATCATCCAAGACAACCAAATTCAAATCAAATGAAGGCAGGCGCAAACAAACCAAAAGTTTCCCTAAACGGCTAAACCAGTACCATGAAGTATGAACTCACAAAGTCACAATGAAGGGCATGTTTCTAATAGTGTAAAGTTAGTCAGAAAAATAGGTCAACAAAACATATCAAATTAAGTCAAAATTTACATGTAAGTCATTCAAAATATCAAACAGTTCAAAGACGACTATTAAAATGTAAGTGATTGAGCATGATCACAATAATCTGAAAAAGTCCATGAAACCAGACAATTATAGTTCCAAAGTACAGCGCAATCATATGCGGCCACATAACTGTGCATTACATCAACCTTCTGTCATAGAAAGTATCATGTTAACTTGCCCGAAAAAACTAAAAGCTTTGGCCATACTACATCAAACATGGGTATCCAGTTATTTAGCCCCCACCAACTTGCCGTTTCCAGGAGTCCTCTACAATGAGCTCATCAACTCCCCAGTCCTCATAGCTATTTCAAAACAAAAAAAAAAAAACAGTCAGCCTACAAAGAATGTCGAGTTGCCTGGTTAAAGTTTCTAATTTTGTCATCTCAATATCTCACCTTCCATCAGGTAAATACCGCCTGATTGTGAAAGGGATCTTGCGTGCTCTCAATTCTTTCATGGCAATCTGAAATTTCATCATCAGATGAAGATAATCAACATTTTTATTTTCAAATGAAACTTGACCCCTCCAAAAAAAGAAAATCAAAGGGCTCCACAACTTTGTTTTATTTTTGGTTGTGCAATGTTGTTTGATGGCTACTTTGATGATTTTATACAAAAGTATGAGCCATTTAAATCCATAGTCCAACCCAATAAAACAACATATTTTATCAGAGATACGATAAAGTATCAGACATAAAAAAATTAATGAAAAAAAGGCAATCAAAAGAATACTTCAAACAACGAGTATAAGGTTCCAGGGAAAGATAGTAAAACAGAGGCCACAATGATGTTCATAAACCATGTTAATTTGTAAAATCTACTATGTACCAACTACCGCCTAGGGCGTTACTAGCACCCTGTTCTTTACAATTGCATGGGGACACATTTATACTTCAAAAGGCATATTTACTATCATGGAAACACGTTTACAGCCATGGGATGCATTTACTACTTTGCAGGAATGTGTTCACAGTTGTTGGGGACAGGCAGTACTGCGCCCAGGGTGTCAATAAGTTACAACAATAAACTTATAACCATTTCTCATATTTTCATACACAAGACTTATCAGTCAGCTTAATTTCTATTATCCTTACAGATTCAAACTATAGTTGGTAACTATTGCAGAGCAATTAGAAATACAGAACTGGTGCTGTAGCTTATGAACATGTAAACCAATGCAACGTACACCAGAACGAAAAGCAACTGTTAAATACCTAAGAACATGATGAAACCACATGATAAATGCCAAATTGAACTAACAAAATGGCGTAGTTATAAGATTCAGCATGAGAAAGAAAGGTTGTAGTTCGCACAATATATTAGAATGAAAAGAATATATCACTATCTAAATGACTCAAACTATATTAGAATGAAAAGAATATATCACTATCTAAATGACTCAAACTATCATGAAACTGCTACAAAATACTTCCCACAGTATAATTAGGTTTTCAACTACGTTGACAGGATCACATCAATGACAACTCTCAGAATCATATTGTAAAGACAAACTCCATAGTTCCATCAACATGTGCACATCATCAGCCAGTTAAACATCGCCACTCCCATCAAAACAATAAAAGTACTAGTATGTTATATACATAGCATGAGAAGGCAGTCACATAAATATTAACTATTTTTTCTAGCTCTGCCCCTCACTCTGGTCTTACCTTGTACGTGCTACATAGAAATGAAGAGCTCAAGGAAATATAGAAGGTGACATTTTGTGCAGACTTGTATTAATTGAAGAAGTCTATGTCTAGAAAACTGAAATCGGAACTTTACCTCAAGTGGATCAGTCTCCCCTTCAAGCTCGACCATAACAGGAGCATTCATGCTGCATAACAATAGATAAGCTCGAATTTTACTTAATTGATATGATTAATTAACTTAATTGATGATATATGAATTACATTTTATAAAAGCATACCTTATCTGCAAGGCACGTGTACCAAGAATGCGTGCACGCTCGTATTTTGTCATATACTTTGATGTTTTCCGTGGACGAGCCGTCTTTTCCTGCTCCTTGTCATCTTCAGCCCCAACCACATCATCCACAGCATCCTCATTGTTATTCTCAGGCTCTTCCTCAGCTCCTTCCTGTTCAGAAAAGGTAAATAAGCCACATAGCTCTTCCTGATAAAGTAAAGTCCAGAAATAAATAACAAAGCAGCAGCTCTGTACCTCAATCTCAGGTTCTGGGGGCTCATCCTCGTACCTGTAAAAAAAAGTACAAGCATCTTTAGTTCATAAATTTATATAATACTAAAATGATTCTGCAGCCATATATAATAGGTGACACTAAGCATAACCAAAAAAAAAAGAACATAACAATCAGCAAAGATAGGTATTTTTCAAGCAACATATCTACAATGTCTCATCAAGCTAGACATGAACTTAAAACTATACTCCCTCTGTTCTATATTGATCATCATATACGTTGAAAAAGCTAACTCTAAAAAGCAACCAGCACCTTGAAAAAGTTCCATTATTTTGATCCATCAATTAAAATAGTTGGGACCAATTCTTAATTGATACAAAAGATGTGGATTATACTTAAGCCAAGAAACATCAAACATCAACATCTTATCCCAACAAAGACAAATATCATAATGTGCATTCTCATTCCAGAAGGATGCTGGGTGAGCTAAACACAAGAGTCCATCTAATGGCTAGGAATGCTCAAACCCCACATAATTCATGGACACCTGGTCACCTAGAAATCAGCATAGTTTCTTACATTCCGTATTAAACCTGATTGACCATAAACCTGGCAACAGCTGCACCATTTAGCCATCCCATTAAAGACTAAGAAAAAACCCACCTTTTAACAAGCACATAAGCAATCAAGCATGGGATTTACTGAAGAATTAAAGAAGTCACCCGACGATCAGCAGCCAAACATAGAATGAGGCATGATGATTTGAGAAAGAGAAGAAAAAAAAACGATGTGTCAATCAAAGCTCAAAGACCCATCCATCTCCCAAAAAAACATCATACCCCCTCGTAATCCATGCCAATGAGAGAGAATAGACCAAATACTGGCCTAAAGAAAAACTCCGTACTGCCACCAAACCAGCAGCTAGAGGCAGAGCCCTCCCTTGAGAAAGGAGAGCTCCCCCCACGAATCCCCCATCAATCAACGTGCCCGTAACCCACCCACGAAGATATCGGACTCCCTCCTAACCCCCCTCTCCGCCCGCGCCCCCGAACGTACCAGTAAACCCTAAGCTAGGTGCGAAACTGTAACGGCGGAAGCGAGCGAGGGAGGGTGGGGGAGAGGCGAACCCCATGTCCATGTCGTTGTAGTCGTCCTCCGCCATGGCGCTCGCTCCTCCTCCGCCGCCGCCGCCTGGGCGCTCGCTTCGCTAGGGCTTCCGAAGGCGGCGATGAGGGGAGGGTAGTGGAAGAGGAGGAAGGAAGCTGGAGAAGGCGGCGTTTGGTCGGGTCGGGAAGGTGTGTATGTGTAGCAAAATCCAAGGGCTGTGCTGTGCATTTGGGCCGCTCGACCTGATCTCTAGCGGTCTGGCCCTCTGTCGCCGTAGGATTAAGTTCACTTTGACTCCCTTTACTAGTTACTCTGAATCCGATTCTTACCCTTAAACCGTAATACGGATATCTCGACCCTCCAACTATTAAAACCCGGTGTAATTTTACACCCTCGATGGTTTTGGAGGGTGGTTTCGCTGATGTGAAGTCTACATGGCAAGGTTGACGTTGATGTGGTGCTTAGGTAGCATTAAAAATAAAAACATATACGTGGGACCCATTTGTCATTAACACAAATTTTTTCGACGCCCACGTGTCACACACTCTCTCTCTCTCCTTCTTCCTCCTCCCCCTCCCCCTTCTCTCTCTTTCAATCCCCTTCGGCCGTCGGAGCGAGAGGATGGGCGCTGGAATAGCGGCAATGACGGTGGGCGGGCGAGAGCCGGAGTGACGGGGCGGCTCTCCTTGGATGTTAGGATCTCTAGGAAATCGCACGGCAAAGGAGGGAGAGGAGCATCGGCCCCATCCATCACGAAGCACGACAGCTCGAGCTCGCAGAACCCATCTAGGCAGGAGGTGGAGGTAGAGGTGAAGGCGAAGAGCTGCCGATCCCCTAGCCCCATCTCCAACAGTGGCGACACACCATTCCCCGTTCCCCGTTCCCCCAGCGGCACGCCAATTCACCATCACCCTCTCCGCACTGACGGCACACCATTCCCCTCTCTGGCGGCAAAGGAGGGGCCACCGGCAGCGTCGTCAGCAAAGCCGGCGATGGAGTAAAGGCCTCCCTCTGGCCCCTCCGTCGAGCAGCGCCCAGCTGCCGCCCACTACTGCCCTCTCCTTCACCTTCGCCACAGCACTGCTTGCCAACGAGCGGCGCCCTACTGCTGCTCGCTGTTGCCCTCTCCTCCACCTCCCGCCCTCACCACCCAACTGCACAAGGAAGAGAGAATGGAGAAGATAAGGAAGGTGAGGGAGGAGAGGATGACAAGTGGGCCTACATTTTTTTTAATGACAAATGGATCCCACATATATGTTTTTAATAGTAGAGATCAGCTGTTAAGATTGTTGTGAATTTTTTTGGAAATGGTGGTGAATATACATATGCGATGGGAAAAAATCGATATGTCAGAATTAAAATTAGACATGGAAGCTAAGGTCTAATTCTTTTCAATTAATTGCAATTTAAAAAGAATTCAACTAATCACATGTACGTACAACCGAAGCCGTTGGCTCATCATACTCACATGAGCCTTCAAAGTTCGTCACCACGCACGCGCACAGTCGCCGCTCTGGAAGCGGAAGGTCGCGCACCATGGCGGCCACGGGGTGGTTTCTAGCGGCAGCAGTAGCCGCCATGGCCGTCGTCGCCTGCTTCGCTGCGACGTCGTCATCGTCGTCGTCGCAGCTGCACTGCGGCACGGTGACGTCGCTGCTGTCGGGCTGCGCGGCGTTCGTCCGCGGGCACGGCGGCGGCGCCCAGCTGCCGTCGCCGGGCACGCCGTGCTGCGACGGGGTGGCCGGGCTGTACGCCGTGGCCGCCGACTCCGCGGACAATTGGCGCGCCGTGTGCCGCTGCATGGCGAGGCTGGTACGGCGGCACAGCTCCAACGCGTCCGCCATCGCGCTGCTGCCCGGCGTCTGCGGCGTCGTCTCGCCCTGGACGTTCGCCGCGGGGAACACCAATAGTAATCGTCCCTACTGCAGAAGGTATGGAAGAAATCAGGTTGATTTTAAATGGATTCGTTCAATTTGGTTGCATTGAGAATAATTGAGATTTGAGAGAAGTATATTTTACAACAATGTTAGTTTTGGTTTTTGAAGCTGATTAATATCGGTTTTCATTCCCTTTTTGCAGCCTCCCCTGACAGGCATGAGAATTTGGTTAAGAATTGTGAGCAAACACGCGCCGATCGATCATGTAGAGAATAAATTTAGTTAGGTTCGGAGTTATCATATCTTGTTGTTGGGCATAGTTACGTTTACGTGTGATTTCTTTTCTCTCGAATCAATAACATATTCATGCTCAATGTAAATATGCAATTCTTGGATTTGATCGGTTAAAAGAGCATAGTTAGCAGACAGAGCAAAACGTATAGATTGCCATGCCATATAGGCATCATGGTTTCAAATGTCGATATTGAAAAAAAAAATATTGGTACTAATAAACAGGAATATTAGATATATCGGAGTTATATTGATGATTTGGAAAAACAATAGGATAAAAATTATAAAAAGGGCTCAAACTGTTTAGAAAATTACACAGATTGTATCTACAAAATTTTGATATAAATAATTATATTGGGATTTGCTAACTGGCTGCCTGCTGATTTATTTTTAGTTGTCAGCCGAATTTTTGTCCATCCGATTCTGCCCAAGATTCGTGCGTCCAATCTTCACCACGGCCCACTTGAGAAAATCTGGCCCGGCCCATCTCTTCGCGCAAAATCACACATCCGGTCTCGGCCCATCTCTCTGTGGGCTGTTCTAGCACTCTCGTCCCATCTCTCTGTGGGCCACACCAGTGAAGTATCAATTTTTGTTTCCCATCTATCTACTAGAAACGATTTGGGCAAAATTATGATGTGTGCTTTTGCTTGTTTGTGGCTGAAATTACATTCTGAAAATTTTATGGACATGCAATCCTATTAGAACCGGTTTTGTCTTGTTTTGTTGTATACTTGTAGGGTTTGTTCAGTATTGTAGCTCTAGTTTCCTTTGTCAGATCTGGTCACTTGTGTGGGTAGATGTCCATGCTGGGTTACCCAGTGCTGCAAATTTTGTACAGATTTCAATTTAGGGTGTGTTTAGTTGACGTTAAAATTAAAATTTTGGTTGAAATTGGAACGATGTGACGGAAAAGTTTGAAGTTTGTGTGTGTAGAAAATTTTTGATGTGATGAAAAAGTTGAAAGTTTGAAGAAAAAGTTTAGAAATAAACTCGGCCTTAGAGTTTTCCTCACAAGACTCTGTACTAGTGTTGTGGTAGTAGTACTCCCTCCGTTTCGAAATGTTTGACGCCGTTGACTTTTTAAAACATGTTTGACCGTTCGTCTTATTCAAAAAATTTAAGTAATTATTAATTCTTTTCCTATCATTTGATTCATTGTTAAATATATTTTTATGTAGGCATATAATTTTACATATTTCACAAAAGTTTTTGAATAAAACGAACGGTCAAATATGTGCTAAAAAGTCAACGATATAAAACATTTCGAAACGGAGGGAGTACCTCGAAGAGGCGAGCCCGGAAACCACTCGTTTATTTTTACCTGCATCAACCAACAGCATACCCCCAACGAAACTGAAGGCGATGCTATTGCTACACTGCAAGTTTTTTATTTGTTTTTGTCACTATTTTAAAATTTTCAAAGAAGTGGTTGTCATTTTGTATTTTTTTATTTTGTTTTTGTAATTTTTTGAATTTTTCAACATATAGAGAGAGCAAACCTGATCCTTTTCCTTCCCTCCTGGCTCCTGCCTATTGCACTTGACCACTTGCGATATGACCGAAGTGTCTATACTTTTGGTCGTTGATTTCTATTTTTGTTTCTTTTATGTAAGATGTAATAAAAGAATTATCGGTATAAAGGAAAAGAGTGAGACAAATCGTGCAAATTGACTCCTGGATGATAGAATCAAGCCGACATAGTTTTGGATCTTATTTAATTAGTACTTGTTTATTTGGGAATATTCGGGAAGTAATTATATGGGTGTGATGCAAGAAAGAGAGATCTCGCCTCATCGCATCAGTTCATTGTTAATTACCACATGAGGGGAAATTAAAGGGAGATTATGGTTAGTCTCACTTCCTTTTTTTTTTCTCGAATGCACCCATTGTTGATCAGACTTGAGAAATCGAAGATTTTTATCAGGGTAGGGCGTGCCAAATTACACCGACAGGAAAAACTGCTCAGCATCTTTCGATTTCTCAAGTCTGATCAACAATTACGCCGCAAATTGCGTTTGGTTTTCAGTTACTGTATTAATTATTATAATTACTCTGTAAAACGGAGCTTGTGTGCGTGCTAGCTCGTGAAATAATCGTCGTTGCGTGTTGTTCCCAACCCCCTGCCACGTGATGATACGGTTGCACCTAACGGTCAGATAGATCGGTTACGTAGCAATCGTGTTCGCTATCTCTTTTTATTAGCATGATTTTTAAACTATTAAATAGTATATTTTATATAGAACTTTTGTAATGTAGAAGTATCAAATAATTTCTTTAAATTTATAATAATTAAAACTCAATTAATCATATGCCATTGGCTTTCTAGCTCGTCACGTGTTTCCTTACTTCGTCATGTTCATCATTTACGAACACCATAAATCGTACAATTTTCAGCGGTCTTTTTGAGCACAAAAAGTAAATTATTCTTATATGCTCTTTGTTCTGAATCCACTGTGCCCACAGAAATGAAACAATGTTAATTAATTGAATTTTTACCTGAGGCACGCGTGAAATATGTGTCCTATTGTATTTGACAATGAATCAATTTTCGGGAATGGAACTATTCAAATATTAAAAAACTTGTAAGATTTCCTCAATTTTTTTAAAAAAATTCTAAGAGGCTTTTGTACTTACAAATTACAATCTTTAGTGGTTCTTTTATATAAATGAAAGTCCACATGCACATAAGGCTGTTTCTTTTTTTTTTCATCAACTCAACTCAACTTCCTTGTTTTTCATGCCCACACTTTATAAACTACTAAACGATACATTTTTTTCGAAAAATTTCTAAAGGTCCTATTGATTTTTTTTAAATAGCTATTACTTAATTAATCATACGCTAATAAATCACTCTATTTTATATGCGTGAGGACTAGTACCCATCCTTTTAGCCGAACACAATTTATGTTCAATGGCAATCAAGTTCCTTTTATATATTGTCCGTATCTATATAGTAATATAACGTATATAGTTCATCCCACTAATAATATTTCTCTGCATCCACAATTAACCACGTCGTCAAATTTGCACTGACACTATATATTGCTTTCCTCTCCAACACAGCTCCACCAAGGCCATTTCAATTGCATAGCCATGCATTCGACACGCTCACACTTGCTGTTGCCCCATCAATTGCACTAGAAAAATGAAAACGATCTCTGGCTTCTTCAATTACTCCGTACCTCCGCGGCACTAGCTACTGGTTCAATTTAGGCCGTGTTTAGATCCTATTTTAAAATTTTTCACCCTACCACATCAAACATTTAAATGCCTAATTAAGTATTAAATATAGACAAAAAATAACTAATTACACAGATTGCGATTAATTTGCGAGACGAATCTTTTAAGCCTAATTGCTCCATGATTTATCAATGTGGTGCTGCAGTAAACATTTGCTAATAACGGATTAATTAGGCTTAATAAATTTATCTCATGGTTTACTGACGAATTCTGTAATTAGTTTTTTATTAGTACCCGAACACTCCATGCGACATACTATATAATACCCGATATGACACGCCAAAACTTTACACCCTGGATCTAATCATCTAAACACCCCCTTAATATATGTTGGACGAAACTGTTGAGGAGCCAGGAAGTCTACCACTCCATTACTGGTTGCTTGTATGCTCTACCGGTAAAACAAATCTGCATATTCATTCAGCGAGCAAAGCATGTTATTTTCACCTTCATCATTGTCATACCTAATCACCACCGGTAATTCAACAAAGTAGACGCACAAGGTGTTAGGTGTTAGCGTGGCAATTCAACAAGTTCATACTCTTTCCATATTCATTTTCTTTTCCCGTAGCAACAAGTGGGGCATCTAATTAATTCAATCTTCTAGTCTGTTTGCACATGAACACCCTGTTGTGACAAATCAACCTACCGGATCTATCCGTACACCTACTTCTGTTCAGTTGTGCCCTTTTGACAGTTGTCACATTTTCACTGTCTTATTGATGATGCTTGCTAGCTTGTCGCCTAAATTTGCAGGAGGTTGTCTTAAAGAAAAAAAACCTTTCAAATGCAGTCGAGTGATGTTGAATACGGATTCATATGTATAGTTTTTCCCCATAATAGGAACTGAATACGATAAGTAACAAAAATAATAGGAATCATCAATTGAAACGAATGTGTTTGAACTGAGTATATGTAGAAATCGCTCCAAACAAAATGATGCTCAACATCATATTGATACTGGTTTAGGTGAAGTAGACCGATATTTATGTCCAGATAAAAGGTAAATGCGTTAAGAAACATATACATTTCAATAGAAAACAAATAGTGATCCAAGAGTAGTGTATGATTTTTTTTAGTTGTTTTTGCCATTTATGGAGGTTTTCCCATCTTTCAAAAGTGGATGTCTTGTGAAATATCAAATTGGAGTTGCATTATTATATGGAGTACTGTTTGTGCATACTTAAAACTACTTACATATTTTTTACTAATAAATTCCTCAACCGTTTGATTTAATTAATTGAAAGTTATAGGAGGAAAAAGATTCAACCACAGTTTGCAATATCAACGTTTCCAATAGACTGCTTTCTAACAAATATACTTTGTCCGGTTATAAATATTTGACGATATGATTTGATCGAACTTTTGAAACTTTAACCATCAATAATTCCTAGAACGCTTAGTTCAAAAAGAAGGAAAATAATATGCACAGATTTGCCCAGAAAAGTACGATTTTTTTAACTTTTGTAAAATAGAATTTACGATCAAAGTTGTGGGCCGGGGGATATGAGAACGGCTGGGTCCCCATCTCCCTTGGGTCACTGGGGCACTATGGAACACATCTAGACATACAATATCTATATCTTCAAGGCACTAAGATCAGTACATGTGATGAGAACACCCCTGGCTCCAGGGGGTGCCCCAAGTAGGTGAGGTGCCCCGGTACCAAGGACGACCAGGCACAATGGCCACCCAGAGGTGAAGCCCAACAATCTTCAGATCCCGAGCACTCTTCATATCCCGGGAGGGGGCCTGAGCTTGTCCCATGCCCCAGGAACCACATGAGGAGCGCAACTACTTTAAGGAGAAGCTGACAGGACTAGGGGTAGCTTTAACCACTCCCTTGCATTAATGACGATATGATGTACGCCTTGTACGCATCCCGTTGACAACGTGGGGAACATAAGGGTGTCTATACCGTATGTCACGAAGGAGGGCCCACAAAATAGTAGGGGCAAAGGTGCTTTTTTCACTTCGGCGCTCCTCTTCCGTTAGTCAACAAGAGAGAACATTCCCCTCAGTCGGATTGAGGGACATCAACAAAGACCAACCATGACAAATTTAATGGAGTAGAGCCTACTCCCGCACATATATATCGACATTGTAGACACCCCTAGGGTATAAAAAGAGAATCGATGCCAACGGAAAGAGGGTTCACATTCCAGCAAGCTAGCATACGCCCTTATATTTTCAGTTTCATGCATTGTAACTCTATTCCACCATCCATCCATAATCTAAGCACAGGAGTAGTGTATTACACACCCGTGTGACCGGAACCTGTATAATCCATGGGGTTTATCCCTTGCACGTGATTTGGACCATGGCTTGAAACCATCTCCTGGCTGAATCTCTTAAGGGGGAGTGCTCACTTCCCCGTTAGGGAAGTTCCATACTCTGACAAAATCTTCAAAAGTTTAACCAAATCTTTGTCCTAAACATTTTTAAGGGCCTTATATATATGACTAAAGGGAGTAAAAAACATTCACCCCAACGAAGTTTTCTCATGTGTTTAATTCTCTCTTTTTTTAAAAAAAAAGTCAAACCAACATTTGCTAAAATAATTGTAATTTGGATCACCATGGATTTTACAAATTTATAATCTATTACCACAAATTTCAAATTTAGCAACATGACAACTCAAACTTAACAATTTTGGACCTACACACTCCGTAGAAAAAAAAGAAAAAAAATCCTTAATGTGAATCTAAAAAATGATTGATTTGTAGTTAGAGGTTGATTCTTTTTTATAGGGTTAATTGGATACATGCCACTGCAAATGTGACAAATCAAAAAAAATGCCACTACTATTTACGTTATTAGCTGGATGGCACCGAAAATTTTTAAAATTGGAACTATGCCTCTACGTGACTCTTTCTATCCTCCCTGTCCTCTCTCACGCCACCATCCTCACCGTCACGCTGCCCTCATCCTACCACCACCGCCGCGGCCGACCTCGCGCTGCCTCCTTCGTTGACAACGACGGCAGGGGCAACGACGCGCCGACCAGCGGAGCACGGCGGTGGCAGCATGCGGGATGGCTTGGCGGCGGCTCCGGACTCCGACGAGTCGGCGGCGGTTTGATTCCCTCCAAGACCCGGCGTGCATGCGGATGGTTCTCGTTAGTGAGGTCACAAGGATGGTTCATGCACAAGGAATCGACACGAAGCTCACCGAAGCAATAGGAATTGAAGATTGTGGCCATCGGTCGGAGTCGAGGAAGAAGACGCCGATCTCCCTCCTTGGTGCACCGATCCATATGGTTCTTGGAGCATCTTGAAGAGGACATCGGGGCTAGGCTACTGGCGAAGGAGCTCGGCTTGGTTAGGTTCACATTGGCCGGAATGGCAACGACGTCATGGAGGCGGTGTTCGGTGCGCGCTCCCGAGCCGCGGTGGCGTGGTCGCGTTCGCGATCATCCATAGCATGAAAATGGGCGAGGTTAGCGGGGATGGAACCGGTGTGGTGAGGAGATGATGGAACAAGGAAAAGATGAAGGCATCCACGGAGACATTGGAGAATGGAGACATTGGAGCGCTCTCTCCCTCGACTTGCTCGGTTCGGGAATGGAGTAGGATATAGGACGACACGACTGGGAGGAGATGAAGGCAAGCCTCCCCGTGCGTGCGCTGCTGGGGCCAAGCTCGTGGAGCCCCATCTCGCTCCTCATGCTCCTCTCCCGGCGGCGACGCTATGCGGCGTGAGAGAGGACGGGGAGGACAGAAAGAGTAACGGGGAGGACGGAAAGAGCGACGAAGTGATATGGTTTCAATTTTAAAAATTTTCAGTGGCATCCAGCTGATAACACGAATAGTAGTGGTATTTTTTTTTAATTTGCCATATTTGCAATGACATGGATCCAATTAACCCTTTTTAGGGGAGTACACACAACGACTCATTTTGCTATCTTCATAATAAATTGAGTTGTGAACATCATTTAAATACTATAAATAATTGCACCCATTGCTCCTCCTCTCGTGAAGTTCCTCTCTAATATAAATAATTGTTGCCATTGATTATTTTCCTTCTCAAAGTTACAGCCACGTTTAGAACCCGTGATTCCTTTTCGAATATTTACGTGTACATAACAAATTCCTGTAAAATTTCCACAAATATCTTACTATCAAATCTGGTGTGACCTGTCATCTGAAAAAAGAAAAAACTGCCGTGACCTGAAATGACAAGTGGACAAAAGACGTGATAAATAAACCCTGCCTAAATGGGAATTAAACAACAGCCAGCCAGCCAAGCCAGCCAGCGCTGGATGACGACTAGTCCACAACACCACGAGAGCACGAGCAAAAAAAACCCAACTAATTTTCTTTTCTTCTCCTCAAGAAATTGATCAGAAAGAGAGACAAGAGAAGAGCTAGGGTTTCATCTCATCTCCAGCCATGGCGTCCGCCGCCTCCCCGCCGCGCTCCGGCGACGCCTCCCCGTCCTCCCCTCTCCTCCCTTCCCCGACGTCCCCCGACCGCCGCAGCGGCGGCGGCGGAGGCGGAGGACGCCTGCTTCCGGGGCTGCGCGGCGCGGCGCGGTTCCTGGGCCGCACGGGGAGCCGCCGCCTGATGCGGGAGCCGTCGGTGGCGGTGCGGGAGACGGCGGCGGAGCACCTCGAGGAGCGCCAGACCGACTGGGCCTACTCCAAGCCCGTCGTCGTGCTCGACGTGCTCTGGAACCTCGCCTTCGTCGCCGTCGCCGCCGCCGTCCTCGCCGCCTCGCTCCCGGAGTCCCCCTCGGTGCCGCTCCGCGTCTGGCTCGCCGGGTACGTGCTCCAGTGCCTCTTCCACGTCCTCTGCGTCACCGTCGAGTACAGGCGGCGCCGGGAGGCGCGCGGCGGCGGCTTTGGGGCGGACCAGGGGGCTGCGGCTGATGGGGATTTCAAGCTCAGGTGAGGGTTTGCTCGGATCAACCCCCAAAACACTTCGTAATCCTAGTAGATATGTGCTATTAAAAGTATCTCGAACTTATGCATTCCACTCTGGAATCAAGTCGATGTAACAGTTTTTTTTTTCCCGTTGATTCATCATTGCTATAATTATCGTATTCCCATGTCAATTATGAATTCTGTTGGTTTTATATTTTTTATTCATTTCTGTCTTTGAAGTGCTGGTGCAGCCTGTAGTATTAGTTTTCGATTTACCTTCAATTCAACTAATAGTTTGGCAAATGCTACTGTGTCTACTTATATGGTAAATTCTTTCTTGGATTTTTAACAACAAATTTATTTGATGTGGCAATTCGTCTTTCGTAATGCCTTCAACTCATCATCCTTGAGTACATTACATTGCTCAAACGAAGATTATTCTATTAGTTTTTCACTTTTTTAGAACTATTCTTATGTGATCTTTCAGTGTGCTGTTGATACTATTGCATTTGCAATTTTAAAGTGGGCATTGTTAGGCAATGAATTTGTGGCATATGTTAGTATAGGATAACTGCAAATTGAATGGGCAAGAATGAATTCCATTTTCTTTGCATTGGGCTGTGGACACTGGACCCTATGGGAGAGTTATGAGCTAATGGGTCGAGCCCTGTTTTTTGTGATCTATTTACCACCCATGACATTGAGTTGAGTTGGTGTTTGAAATTGGCAACATGGAAGTACGAACTATGTCTGAATCAGGCAAATGATATGTATGGAAATTCTATTGATTTATAATTAGATGCTAAAAGGGTATCATCAACTACTTTTACTATCAGTAGATTTATGCTATTGATTTGTTTGCCATGTTCAACATTGTCATTTTCTCATTTTCCGTAAACTTGCATTAGGAGTTGGTTGCTTAAATACTTAAACTTAATTGTGTTTCTGTAAACTTAGTGTTTTATGTATATATTGTTCAGTATTGTGAAGCACCTGGAGTCCGCAAACACGATGTTTTCTTTCATATGGTGGATCATTGGGTTCTACTGGATATCTGCAGGTGGCCAAGCTTTGTCCCATGATGCTCCTCAACTTTACTGGTACGCACTTAGTAGCTGTGGCATGTGAATGATAGTATGTATTATCATTAGTGGCTGTAGTCTAAGATGTTTATCTTATTGCCCATTATTTTGCAGGCTCTCCATTGTGTTTCTGGCATTTGATGTTTTCTTTGTAGTCTTCTGTGTTGCCTTGGCCTGTGTGATTGGCATTGCTGTCTGTTGCTGCCTGCCTTGCATTATTGCTATCTTATATGCTGTAACTGATCAGGTATGCCAGTTCTTGTTTAGGACAGATATATTCTTCAAATGGTTGTGATGAGATTTAGATGATCATATGATCCTGTCTCTGCTTTGTGTTCTAGATACATTTTCTTCAAAAACAATTTTCCAAATGCAATTGCTTATGTTCTATTTGTGCAATTTAAGCATTATTACTATATTACACATACATCACTCTACTTTTGTCTACAGTTCATTTTATATCTCTTAAAGACATCCATGTCTTGAAAGAAAGAATAACCTCTTCTGCTGTGGTATAAATACTTTTTAGTAGAAGTATTACTTCAGAGTGGTTTTGCATGCAATGACCTGCTATCAACATTGTTTTGAACTCTTTTAAAGGTAGTTTTGTTTCTTTTCTCACTATGGCAGTTAGTTATCACTCATTATTTCTGAATGTTCCATGCTAAATATGATTTTCAAAAGTCTGGAACTGTTCTTGTTAATCAGTTATCTCCCCTTGACATAAGCCTAATAAAACAGTATGTGGACTGATACATCCAGAAATAATCATCTCACATTCATTGCACTGAGACTATTTGTTTGTTTTTAAGCAGGAAGGAGCATCTGAAGAGGACATCAACAACCTGTCCAAATTCAAATTTCGGACAATGGGTGATGCAGACAAGCTGGTTGCTGGAATTGCAGCACCTGTGGGTGGAGTAATGACTGAGTGTGGCACCAATCCTCCTGTTGAACACTTCCTTTCTGCTGAGGATGCTGTAAGTTTTCAGTTTCCCCCCTGAAATTCTGTTAGCACAACTGTATTGTTATTCTCACTACATAGCTTGTCATGGATACTTTGGAATGTCATGGCACTTGCCTTTGTTTATTGGACGTCAAGGATCTAATTTGTAACCACCGAATACTTCTGTACCAAGAGTGCTGCTTGAAATTTGTTCATTTAATCTTCACAAAATCATAGAAGCATTTCTTAGCAGCTAGGCATGTTAATGCGAAAAAATTGTATCGATTGATGCCTATCTATTGTTCATAAACTCACTAACCATATTTAATACTCCCTCCGTCCCAAAATATAACAATCGAGTACTGGTTTGGACAACAACTAGTACTATGAATATGGTGAGGCCAGATGTCCTGGATTCATAGTACTAGGTTGTGTCTAATACAGTACTAGATTGCTAAATCCCTCGTGCACTTTATACAAACTGCAGAAGATAAACATGGTTGTTTCAGGTATAAATTTGTTTAGAGCTTGAGATTTTGTTTTACCCCAACATAACAGTCTGTGACTAACCCCAGCCAGTGTCATTAGTCTAACCTAGCAGGCTAACTCTAGTTTAGTTTAGTAGCTTAGTTATCCCAGTTGGAATTATGTGAAGTAGGTGACTTAACAGATGGTGAAGACTCTGTGACTTGGTCAAGTATTAACATGTTAGATTGTGATATTTTTTAAGCCCATTTAGGTATGCCTGAATTAAGGAAGCTGAACAGGCTTGTGGAATTGAAGCCATATGTATATTACTCTGTTAAGAAAAACTGTGGACAAATCACACGGTCCCCTTGCTGCTGTTGAAATCTATAATAGTATAATATGTAACTAACAATTAATTTCTTGGATCTTAATTTGATACCATACCAAACTGTACAAGTGCTATACGGCACTTCAAGTACTTTACCAAAACATAGCTTGGAACTGCTCTGGGGAAAAAAACTTGGAATGGAGCAAGTTCCTGTTAAGATATCTGAAATTGTATATGCATCCTGTAGTACTTTCCAATTCCAGCTTTTAGTCAAATTGTTACCTCATTTAGTTTGCCCTTCACCTGAGGAAAAAAAACTAGTTTAAGCTGGCCCTCCATACTGATGCTGGATATCGCAAAATTGACTTGAAAGATGGAGCAATGCCAATATTTTCATGGATGGCCAAAGTTATTGAAACAAATACAACTAGTGCCATTTTAAGAGGTATTGTATCTTATCGATCATTAACCCACTCTTGTACCTGTCAAATGCAGGAGTGCTGCATCTGCTTGTGTCCCTATGAAGACGGTGCGGAACTTCGAGAACTCCCCTGCAATCATCATTTCCACTGTACCTGCATAGACAAGTGGCTTCACATAAATGCAACATGTCCCCTGTGCAAGTTCAACATCATCAAGAGCAACCTTGGTCCAGAAGACGTCTAGGTTTCACAGGACGAGCAATCTGTTGAAGGATTGATATGCTCCAGTTGCGTTCTTTAGCTATGGGTTCCTTCAGGTGTAAGTATGGGGTATAGGTGATGCACAGCTGGTTGATCAGTATTCGCTCCTGAATGAAATGTTTTAGCAGTTTCTTGATGCCGGTAGAGATGTACATTCCTTCTCTCTAAGTCAATTGTGTCGCAGATTCTCATTTTAGCCTTGTAGGAAGTATTTGAATTGAGGATTCTCATGTACGTTGTGTTAGCAAGTGTTGAATAAATACATGGAAATGCAGAGGTTTGTAAGAAGAAAAATGGTTGTGGAATTGGAGCTTTGTTAACAGCACATGCTGTCTCCTTAATATGCAGTAGACGTACATTCTACCCCTTTGGTGCTTGATACCCTTGTCTGCAATCCTGTTGAAGCAAATTTTGCACTTTGTTCGATGATGTTTAAGCGACAGCTGGAAATTAGAAAGGCGGAGTATGACGGTAAGCAACGCAGCCTTAATCTTTCACCGTCTCAAATCAGAGCAATTCGATATTTCCAGCAAGCTGTGTAATTACTGCTTAGGGGGTACAAACTGCGAATTTGGCTGATAATTACAGCGTTTAACTTATTCCGTCAATGCAATGGTACCCAATATACTCTACATGTTAAACGTGTAAATTGCACACCACAAATACAGTTATTGCTACCAATCCATGCAATTGATATTCACAGGCTCGCCACGGGCATGATGTAGAAGGTGGCTCGAGACGTGTAGCAGAGCTTATTGGTGCCCTTGAGCCTAAACTCAACCGTAGTAACCACCACGGATCTGCCCTTCCTGAGTATCTGCGCTTCGACTTCCACTTCAGACTGTATCAACAGAAAGAGAACATGGGCATCAGGAAATACACACTTGAGATCTAAAAGCCCCCCAACAAGATGTACCTAACACACACTTGAGCTCTACCAGGAAATACTACTCCCTCGTATCCTTTTTACTTATCTCAAGGCATCGACTGAGTATCTAACACACATGTTGTACCATTGTTTTTCTAATCATATATCTATGAAAAATATTAAAAAGATAATTACATGAATGACTAGTCTAATAATCTCATTTTCGCATGTCAAAATCTTAATATTCAGTTCATATATTGACTTTAAGATTTTGAGGTTTAATTGCACGCACGTATACTGGTATCTAAAAAAGAGCAGTCTGTTTTTTATGTTGTGCCTTGAATTGTTTGTGCTTTATTGCATGATATATGATGGTGCGAGTTTTACAATGCTATCTTTTGCTGTGAATGGCTAATACACATTAAAGGAAACACGATGCATTCAAACCCAGCAGGTCTGAATTCTGAAATTATGCAACATCAGCATCCATTGGCTGGTAGGTTATATCAGGGTTCAAAATTCCGGAACAAAATTTCTGAAATTTCGGTTCCGTCGGATCCTCACCTTCCCAATATGATATTATTTCAATCGAAATTTTTAATTTTTTATGTGAATTTGGCAATATTTTGTTCAAAATTTTGGACCGAAATTTCCAAAATTTCGGTATATCGGCACCCTCCGATACAAATGCCGAAAATGAAAGATTGAACCCTGGGTTATGTCCATATCAAGCCAGTGTGTGATGTTCATTTCATCGTCTGTTTTGGTGACAAATGTTGCAGGCAAGTACTTTATTACTATATCTGTTGAAAAATGTGCTTGCTTGTGTGTAGATGATTTAGTTCATACTAGAAACAAAGTTCCCTCCCCTGTTCTAGAGCTGGATCATTTACCCTCTTGCAGTGTTGAAATATATTTACCACTAGTATCTTGTACAACATCTTCATCCTAGAACATCTTCATCCTAGAAGTGAGGCTAAAACTGTTTCCAGCTTCCATTCCGAAAAATAGCGCCTATTTATTGGGAGATTATTCAGCATCAAATTTGCCCCCAATTCCCCATGTAGGAAGCATCCAATAAGTGCAAGAAATTTGTCTTGAGGATGCAATTTTTTTCTGAAAAAATAAATAAATAAACAGGTTCGCCAGTTGGGTGAGGGAAGTGTGTGCTCACATTGAGGCGGGCGGCGGAGAGATAGGCGGCGCTGAGCTCGCCGAGGAACATCTCCTTGTCGCCCGCCGCGGCGCGCGCGCACGCCATCCCGACGACCTCCGCCACGGCCGCCACCATGCCGCCGTGGAGCGTGTTGTACGCGTTCTGCAAGTCGCGGAATCGAGCAGCGACGACGTCATCACGACACGCTAGGGCAGGAATAGGATAGGATTCAGCGGAGGAGGAGATGTGGAGGGGTGGGGGGCGCGCTCACGACGGCGGCGGGGGAGACGGTGAGCGTGCAGGAGACGCGCGGCGAGGCCGGGGTGGCGGGGACGACGGAGACGGCGGCGGAGAGGACGCCGCGGACGAGCGCGGAGTAGGCGGCGGGGAGCTCCGCGGCGGCCGGGAGGGTCCCGTCCACGCCGAGGCCGCGGAGGAAGCGCCGCGTCCACTGACGAGACTCCGCGAGCGACGGCGACCGGCGCTCCATCGGCGGCGCCATCTCCTGATCTCCTCCTTTCCCTCGCGTTTTTGCTTGGTTGGTTTGCATTAACTGCATGGGTAGGTGACAGTTTGAGGAATCGGAGCAGAGAATTGGGCCGGCCCAACGCAACGGCCATCGCCGCCTTCGTGGCTTTGCGATGGTGGGTAAAACGGGACAGCATTAGTAAATAGTACTCCACCCATTCTAAAATATAAGGCATAATCACCTCTAACCCAAAGACTAAGAAAATAATTATTATCATCTTGTAGTTTAGATCACCCTAATAAATATAATGCATGCATCCAATAGAATTAGAGAACATGACAGTGGATGTTTTAAAAAAGTAATAATTTAATGGAGAAGAGATCATAGTTAATGGTCTATATGCATGTATGCCTTATATTATGGAACATTAAAAAAAGTGGTTGTGTCTTATATTATGGAATGGAGGGAGTAATATTACAAGAAAATTAATGGATTGCCACTTCTAACGGTGCGCTTCGATAAAATAATACTCTAAAATATCAGTTTATGTTACCTATTTTATGGAGGAGACTCGCGCCCAATGGGAGGGGATTAAAATCGGGCGCTGATGTCAGCGTCCGATTTACGTGCAAAATTATTTTAAATTGATTTTTCTCTTAAATTACTTATCTAAATAATGATTCGATTGTACCATTAAATTCGTTGCAATTAAATCAAACAAGACTACACATAGATATATTCGGACGAAAAAAAATTTAGCTTATTATTTAATTATTTTTAAATATTGCACGATGTTCCACCAAGTATATCGGAATTGTTTCACTAAGTAGATCGAAAATGTTTCACTCGTTTAAATTGGGTGTTGTTTCACCTTATATAAAAACAATGTTTCAGCAAATAGCGAAATAATGTTTCAGTTCACCGCAACATTAGATCTATACATAGTGAAACATTGTGAGTATACTAGGTGAAACATTTTTGGTGGAACAAAAAATAAAACGAATTCGAGGGTTTCCAAAATATGTGGGTGATTTTTTGCAATAGAGTATTTCAGTTCACTGCAACATTAGATCTATACATAGTGAAACATTGTGAGTGCACTAGATGAAACATTGTTAGTGGAACAAAAAATAAACCAAATTCTCTTAATAGAAGGTTTCCAAAATATGTGGGTGATTTGTTGCAATGGAGTATTTCAGTTCACTGCAACATTAGATCTATATATAGTGAAACATTGTGAGTGCACTAGATAAAATATTTTTGGTGGAACAAAAAATAAACCAAATTCCTTTAACAGAGGGTTTCCAAAATATGTGAGTGATTTGTTGCAATGGAGATATGTGTGTGGATAAGTGGCAGGTGGGGACAGGTGACACGTGGTGGGGACCAGAGGGAGCTGGTGCGCACGTGATGTGGTGAGGGAGGAGCGACCGATTTTTTTCCCCTCCCCCGGGCGACCGAGAACGAGCATTCTCACTATTTTATTCTCTCTCTTTTTACGATTATTTTGATTTTTTTTAGTTTCTTGTCCATAAGAGGCCATGCGAGAAATAATGCTTTCTCACCTTTCTCCTTGACCTCACTCCGAGGCATCTCCTTGGCATCACCGAACTAGAGCTACCTTTTTTAGGCTACGAAAAATCTTAAAATATATTTTTAGTCTAAACCTGAAACGGATAATAATACGGATCCAAAATTACAATATATATTTAATACTCCTACCATCCTTACCAAAAGTCAAATATAATTTTTATCATGCTAGGGATTTAAACTCGAGAATTCTCCTTCACTTGTACTTATGGATACCAACTCACCTGCAAGTCAATCTTTTTAGCAGATGGATATGTTTCCTTTTAAGCATTTCTAATCGAGATTTGAATCATGAATTTGAGTATATAAAATAAATCAAATGAAAAAAGTTGTCAACTACAAAATCATAAATCTTATCGAGATCTATAATTTTCATATAAACTTTGTCACAATCTGTCATGAAAAAAATCAAGACAACATATCCGGAACTAGCACTAATGTGATTAGGGCCATCAGTGCCAGATTATAAAAAATACCAAGCACTGATGTGAGTGGCATTAGTATCACGTATTTGTTGACGAAAAATCCGTGCTTGGCCGATGATGCCTGATCTGTGTTGGCACGAACTAAGTCGACGAACACAACGGTCTGGGAGATTTGCTTAGCTCCAGTGCAGATCCAAAATTGATGAGATACGGGCGTGCCAGTTAGTTTGATCATGCAACTAACAAGATATATAAATAACAGATCCAAGAGTTGATCGGCTGACAAGGCGATGGAATAGTTGCGACCAATGCCGATACTAGCCGATCCCGAAACCAGCTGATGTTGATAGGGTTTTAAACAATCGGCTATATATCGAATGCATATTCTGATACTTGAGCAAATAACGATATATAGACAATCTGCTGATGATAATAAAAATAATGATATAATCCAATATAAACCAATCGGCTAATAATGATATGATAGAATTAAGTGAACCGATGGTTAAAGCATACATCGGCTGGAAGTCCGATATCATAAAATCCAAATGATTAGATAAATAATAAAACCTTTGTCACAATGGGCTAAATCCAACTTGTAAATAACTCATCGGCTAAAACCCCGATGAAACCCTTATTATAATCAAAGACATGTTAGCTTTTATGATTCTATGCACGACTAGGGATGATGCATCGCAAAGTATGCAAAGAAGAATAAAGTCTAAACAATAAAGCCTTTGACTAATTTTTAGGGTGGTGGATACCTTAGTTAATATAATCTAGCAAGATAATTTAGCCGATACCAGCATAAACCCTAAAACGAATCTCAGCCGATATGATCAAATTAAGATGTTAAATTAGGTTAACTAAGATATATGATAAATAAGTAGACAAATATACTAACCGAATCAGAGCGATCCAAGAGGTCGAATCGATGCAGCCTTCAACAACACCAATATAGCCGATATAATTGCCAGGACCGGCGAAACATAGGACTTACCCCTTCGCCGAAGATCGAAAGCCGATGCAGCCCTGCATCAGGTGCCAAGTTCCGCAGGTGATAAGTAAAAACCTCGGAAAAGAGAGTGGCGAAGCGGCGAGAGTAATTGTATTAATCTGTGAGAGAGTTTATAATGACCACGGGTGTACATATTTATACCTATGGGTAGATACTAGTCCTTTTTTTGACAAGAAAAAAAATTTCCTAAAGATAAAAGGAAAACATAAAGTCCTTATCGGGCACTAAACACACTTCCCTAAAAATAAAAAGGAAACCAACAGATTCTTCCTAATAAATAGATGAACTGCCATGCCGCATCCTCCTTGAGCTCGGTCTTTTCTGGATAAACTTCCTTTAATTGATTAATTTCTTTAACCGAATCTACCAAGAAGCTGACTATTATATTGGTGACGATATTTTCCATCGGCCGATTTCAAGATGCTGAAACCGATAGTGACTCTGAGCCCATGATGACTTACCAAATTGTTACGTTAACGGTATTCTAATTAATCACCCGGCACTGACGTCTTTTCCTGCCAACAGGCCAACCCATCCCCATTCCAATCGGTTTAAACCGACATTGATTGGTTAATCATCCATGCCAGATATTCTTATAAACCAGCAATGGTATCTTCTCATCAGTGCCATCTAAGCATGAAAATGTCCAGGTCCATATACTACAACATCAATATTGATGTTTGAATAGCATTCACTGTCTGTTCTTCGCTTCAACCAACAACGATGTATAATTTTTTTCAGCGAAACCAACAACGATTATTTTTGGCTGAAACGAACAACTGTATTGACATGTCTATATGTCACTCATCCATGCTAGTATGTCTATGTGTAGCTTAGGCATACCAAAGTTAATAAACTTATTCTCCCCAGTGGTAAACATGTAGGGCCAATCGTAAAAGTGGCAACCAGAAAGTGGCAAGTAGTCAAATATCCCTGAGTAAATGCATGCTTCGTCGATAGATTGTCATCTGAGTGAAATCATGACTTCATTTTTTTTTTCTCACTACACCATCGCAAGGAATTGAGGGTGGCGGTTGAAGATTTAATTGTTGCAAAGTACTTAGACACTTAGTTATGATTAATGAAGAAAATACACCTTTTATCACCAAGGCTGCAAAAAATAGAAGGCGAAGAAATCCTTTCATTCGCTAGACGGCACTACTGGAAAACTGATCTTTGCTCGGTCGCCCCAAAACCACAATAGTCCCGGTTACAAAAAGAACTGAGACTAAAGATGATCTTTAGTCCCGGTTTAAAACCCCACAGCCATTCTACGATCTTTAGTCCCGGTTCATCCACTGTCAGTCGCTTGACAGAGGGGCGGGATCTTTAGTCCCGGTTGACACCACTTTAGTCGGGGAGTAAAGATCTCCTAGATCAAATCACGCGTAGTATATAATCCCTATTCCCTATCCTCTCCCCTACAACCAGCCTCAATCTCCTCAACAACCGGCCTCTCCTCTCCTTAAATTCATCTCCCTCTCCTCCTCCCCCTCCTCCCCTTCCTCCTCCCATCCCGGCCCTCTCCTCCCCCTCCTCCCTTCCCATCCGATGCCCAGCAAGGGCCGCCTCCTCCCCCTCCTCCCTTCCCGTGCCCAGGGCCGCACGCGGCAGGCGGCTGGCGGGCCCACGCCCGGCGGGGCCGCACGCAGCAGGCGGCCGCACACGGGCCGAGTAGCGAGCGGCGGCAGGCGGCGCTACCGGCATCCATTCTGTTTTCTTTTTCTTTTTACAATTTGTGATTCACTGAGATGTATAATTTTGTGATTTGTTGTATGGATCTGAGATGTATAATATGTGATGTATTTGGTTTGTGTGTAATTTTTTTAATATTTGTGATGTATTTGATTTGTGTGTACAAGTAACTTAAGATTTGTGATGTGAATGTTCTAGGATGTTACTTTGATTTGGGGTTTGATTTGGTAATATGTATCCCACTCGATTTGGGAGAAAATACATGGATTAAACTCTGGCTAAAAAATAATGAAAAAAAGAAAAGGAGACCTAATGAGACTGCCGCTGCCCTCTCTCTTTAGTCTCGGTTGGTGTTACCAACCGGGACTAAAGATAGGTATATTTAGTCCTGATTGGTTATTTCAACCTGGACTAAAGATGGGTATCTTTAGTCCTGGATTACTAGTCCCGGTTGGAAAACCGGGACTAAAGGGGGTTACCAACCGGGAGTATAAATGGTTTCTCCACCAATGTGGGAATACAAATCTTCATCACTAATATGACTTTAGAGACAAATATTAATACACAAAGTAATTATGCAAGAGAGCTATATACTCCCTCTGTTTCTAAATATTTGACACCGTTAACTTTTTAGCACATGTTTGACATTCGTCTTATTCAAAAACTTTTGTGAAATATGTAAAACTATATGTATACATTTAAGTATTTTTTCAATGAATCAAATGATATGAAAAGAATTAATAATTACTTAAATTTTTTAAATAAGATGAACTGTCAAACATATTTAAAAAAAGTTAACAGCGTTAAATATTTAGAAACGGATGGAGTATTCAATTCCCGTATTATGAGATTGCCCTATGGAAAGACTTCGATAATGGATCGAATACCTAACACAGGGCTTATCTTGTAGTCAGTGAATCCTGCCTCCTTGAATACCTTGCACCATTCTTTCTCACCTCTCTGCATGCCTGGTAATGTAGTCGAAATAAGCAGATCAAACAACAGTTGGGTTCCATGGCACATTGCTTGGGTGGAGGATCCAACCACAACATCTATGACAATGACCTTCCCTCCTGCTTCTCTGGAAGGAATTGCCTCCTTGCATCGTTTTAGTATCTTCATGCAGTCCTCATCACTCCAATCGTGTAGGACAAACTGCAATCAAGAATGTTGTTAATTACCATCTAAAAATGTGGTAACTAAGCTAGTTAATTTGATATATACCCTGTACATCAGAAGATGTCAATACACATACTTTTGAGCGCTTTTCAACGCAAAACCGGTTGGATTATATGACCATTAGGCATGTTCAAAGGCATTTCTATTTAGAGACTATCCTCATACAACAATTGAGTAAACAAAATACTCTCAATAAATGCACCGAGCCAATTTTTGTATTATCTACTCCCTCTGGCGGAGGGTGATCCTCTCTAGCGGGAGGCTGTGAGACCCCCCTTTGTGAGCTCGGCCGGGGGACCGGGTGCAATATTGAGGAACGTGTTCTCGCGCGAGCGAGGTGAATCTCCGGGAATCAAGCTCACAAGGTGGAAGGCGAGAGAGTGAGAGAGAGGGTTTATACAAGTTCGGGCCGCTATCAAGCGTAATACCCTACTCCTGTCTGTGTGATGACCTTCGTATGGTTACAAAGATTTAAGATCCTCGGAGTACAAGCTAGGGCTTGGCCAGCCTCTTTCCAGAATCTGGTTTTCTAAGAGATGTCCCTTTACTCGTAGGGCACGGTCCTCCTTTTATAGACGAAGGGGATACCACATGCATTGCCCCTACGCTCTCCCCGCGGGATAGGGGCCCACATTGCCTACATAAAAAGCGTCTTGTGCCTTGGGCCGGAAGCGATCCATGCGGCTAACCTTGGGTGGCCCATACCGAAACTTTACGGCTGACACGGGAGACATCCCCCATCATTCCCTATTAAATGTTTGGCGACTTCGTGGGCACACACACATTGGGCGGACCAACCTGCAGGACCCACCCCTGTGCATGATGGGACAAGGCATACCTGCCCCCACGCCGTCTGACACAAACCGGGACGTGGGTGGACTGCCGCCTGTCCCATCCGTCCATCGGCGGGTCACAGACCGGTCAAAAAGCGGCCGCAGGCGCACGTCGAGCGATCTGTGGCGCATGCTGAGCCACGCCGCATAAAACACGGCGGGGGCGGTTGCAACGCCGCTCATAAATGCGCCTGGCGGACGGCGCTCCCGCCCGCTCAAGCCCCCACATGGGCCTTGGGGCGATCCAACCCCTCGGGCCCGAGGGGTGTGACGGGGCACCTCGAGCCCGAGGGGAGGGGAAGAAAGCTGCCGCTCTCTTTCCAAGGGCGTGGCCCATTCGGGGGGACTGGGCCCACCGTATGCGCCACACAGGAAGGGCTTTCTTTCCCCCTAGACCAGGGACCCCCAGGGGCTTTTTTTCCCCCCTGATATTATGACTTTTTTCTATAAAGTTAGTGAAACTTAGAGCAGTTTGACTTTGACCAAAGTCAAAACGTCTTATAACCTGAAATTAAGGGAGTAGTTAACAACTTGAGCCTGCTACTAATTGCCGTGCTATTAGTTGTCATCGTACATACCTTTACCGGAGGATCAAGGGTGAATAGCCAATACGGTCCCTGAAGTTTAACTTCGGGCTCAGTTTAGTCCTCGATGTTTTAAATCGTCCAAACAAGTCCACCAAATTAATCATTTGGGTTAATATAGTTCTTGGACCTAAAAAATGCCACGTGAGCATGCCAAGTCATTCTCGCATGCAGCGGTAGGAATGATATGAGCATTCCACTCTTATATACCATATAGAAAAGAAATAAAAGACAAAAAATATAACAAGCTAGCCTAGGCTCAGCATTGTTGCAGATGGGTGGCCGACAAAGGAATTTATGCGAACAGTGCTTGGCTGAGCAATCATGAGTGACAATTATAAAACGATCATACACGTGTGAACCATTTTATCTTCTTTTTTTTCTTTCTTTTCTATATGGTATATAAGGGTAGAATAGTCATTTCATTCATACCATTGCATACGAGGATGACTTGGCATGGTCATGTGGGACTTTTTGTGGGTCCAAGGACTATGTTGACCTACATGATTAATTTGGAGGACTTGTTAATTTGAACGATTTGAAACCTAAAAGACTAAACTGAGCCCGAAGCAAAACTTCAGGGACCGTATTAGCTATTTGCCCAAGGATCAATGATTTAGATCTCCTGCTTCACCACTCTATAAATGTTTAACCGTCATTTAGGAACATCCAAGCATGCATGCCATGTTACTTTTTTGACACATGTCTTAATTTTATGGTATCTCTTATATAGTATACATCTGTAAATATTAAGGACCGAAAAATGTCCATGGAGAGAACACTTCGGTGTCCAAACCACAAATAGTGTCACAAATTAAAAGGCTAGAAAAAAAAAACTCATTTGTGGTCTAGCAAATCCTTTTCACAGTTGTATTGTGTGGTTGGCAATTCATTATATAATCCCGCCATTTTTAAATATGTATCACTGTCAATGTTTTAAACATGACATTTGACTATTCATATTACATAGAAAAGTATGTAAATATTATTTACTTTGTTGTGATTTATTTTATATTAAAGATACTTTAAACCCGACTTATATTTTTATACATTTGTACTACATTTAATTAAAACATATTTACACTAAATCTTAAATAAGACGAATGATCACATTTATATTAATTCAAAAGTTTATTAGCATCGTTATTAAAAACGGAGGGAGCACATTTCATATAACTCACCTTGAGCAGGAGTGCATCAGCTCGGGGGATGAAATCCATCATATCTCCTGCAACAAACTTAACAACATCGCGGCCGCGATGGTCCGCCGGAATGGAATCGATCACGTGAGGAAGGTCCAGCACGGTGCACTTGATATGCGGGAACGCGGCGGCCACCACCCTCGCCGCCGTGCCGGTGCCACCTGCGACGTCCACAAGAGAGGTGATCTTGTCGAACACCTGGCGGCCCGCGCCACGGATGGCCACGTCCATGATGAAGGCCGAGTCGGCCGCCATGGCGTCGTTGAACAGCTCGCCGAGCTCCGGGTCTCGGCTGCAGACGGTCCACAGCCCCGCGCCGTGCGTCATCTCGAACGGCGTCTCCTCCTCGCCGCTCGTGAGCCACTCGGCCATGCTCGTGGCCGGCGTCACGTAGATCGGCGGCGAGAGCTGGAGGAGCACGAACGGCAGCAGGCTCCTCCCGCCGTTGCCGCCGGTGGCGGTGACGAGCAGGGACGACACGGGCGTGACGCGGTAGATATCATCGTCGTCCTCCTCCTCGTCATGCGCGAAGACGCCCGAGGCGACCAGCACGCGCATGACGCGGCGCAGGAAGTACGGGAGCTTGCTCGGGTGGAGGGACAGCGCGGCGCGCAGGTCGTCCATGGTGGCGCGGCCGCCGGCGTGGTGGATGGCGTCGGCGACGCCGAGCTTGGCAGCACAGCCCAGGGCCATGGACCTGATGTAGCCCAGGCTGTGGTTCATGAGCTCCGTGCTGGCTTGCAGTAGCTGCTCGTGCTCCATAACTTGGCTACTTGGGCGAGCTTGGTTCACTACAATATCTATAAGCTAAAAAATTACGGGTAAGAATGGGCGTTTGGTTACCCGTCTCACTCTCCTCACATAATTATATTACCACATAGAAGGGTGTCCGTGTGTGTTTGTAGGGATAAAAGTGCGCATGTTATAAGTGTCTATTTGTACTGTGTTTCCCAACTTACACTTCCACATTAAACGGTTCAATTTTTGTAAAAAAAAAATTACATGAAAAATACTTTAAAAAACACATTAATCCATTTTAAGTTTTTTTAACAAATACTTAATTAATTATGTGCTAATTTATTTTTTTTTCGTGTATAGGAGATTAGTTCTAACTCACACCGAAAAATATGATCTTAGACCCCGACCACAGGACGTACTGATAGTACAATATGCCAACGTCAATGAAGTTACACGACTTTTCCACATATAATATAGTATTAGACATTTGGACAATTGCAGATAGCAACCAAAACCATCGCTTTGGGGTGCTAGATGTCATCGTATCTGATACTGATTGTTTTGGGATCGGTACATGTCATCATACCCTTGTCTAGAAGGTAGGGGCGACGAGCGCAGCTAGGGATTCTTCCGAAAATTGCGGGCCACGCACCTCCTACTTTTCCACCGCCCACTACTTTCTGCCACGTATCCATCTAAGATTAAATAAGAGTAACTGGCTATGGTTATATCTGTTCTATACGACGAGTTTTTTTTCCACAAAACACACGCCATTTTTTATTGTTTGAACATATGAATACACATGTATACCATATTCTTATAAGCACTTTCAGAAGGACGCGACTAGACTACACGTGCTAGCGTAATACCTCTAACCAGCGATGCGCTACTTTTTTTTTTTTTAAAAAAAAGGTTCATTCTTTTCCCCACGTGAGTGTGTCTTGCTAAAAAAGACATGCGAACGTACACTCATTAGTACTAAGCAGAGCCCACGTTATTTAAAAAAAAATAGTATGATATCCTGTCTTTCCTCATGTACATCCTTCCAAAAAAGACACAAGCATTTTTTTCACCATTGCATTAATATTTTTTAAAAACCACATGTATCTTTTATTGTTTTAAATATTCGTTTGAATCATCATACTCCACTTAAAATTTGTGACAAATAAAGTCTATTAAATATGTTCTAATTATTTTAAATTTTTATTTTTGTTCTTAGCTCCGACAGCAGCATATTTACTTCAAATACCATGAAGAATTACTTTTCTAAAGCAGTGGAATTAATTCTAGTATCGTGAAGAATTACTTTCCTATAACAGTGTATTAACCGTAAAGAGTTACTTCCATGTAGAGTGTAGCTACTTCTAATATAGCAAAGAAATTACTTCTATACATTTTTATGAGTTACTTTTATAGCAGTATAGTTGCCTCTTATATCATTGAGAGTTACTTCTATTTTTTTCGTAATTACTTCCCTACAGTATAGTTACTTCTAATATTATAAAGAGTTACTTCTTATATAAAATAAAAATAATATAGTGATTACCTCAAATAAGAAAATCCTTGTTTTTTTACTTATTAATCTTCTCTACAATTTATTTGTGAATTTACTTCACATAGTTCCTTAATTATTTTAAACTCAACCCCTATGTAACTAATTTAATGTTATTTTATGAAAAGTTAATTCCTTTCAGAATTGAGTTACTTCTATAATGTGAGCAAATCACTTTTAAATATTTGAATATATTTAATATTGTACTCATCTTGTCATACATTTTAAATAGAGTAAGTGTTAACAGCAAAATTTGGTAAGCCCCGAAGTCATTATCGGCCGATGGGAATTATCAAGTCATCAATAGTCGGATTATTGCTATATTCAGTTAAGGAAATTAATCTACCAAAGGAAGTTTATCCAGAAGAGACCGAGTTCAAGTAGGATGCAGCATAGTAGTTTATCTATTAATTAGGAATAGTCTGTTAATTTCCTTTTATCTTTAGGAAAGTGTGTTTAGTGTCCGTTAAGGACTTTATCTTTTCCTTTTTTATCTTTAGGAAAGTTTCTTTCTTATCCAAGAAGGACTAGTATCTACCCATAGATATAAATATGTGCACCCGGGTCATTATGAACTATCTCTACGATCAATACAAATTCGGCGCATCGCCATACCTTTTACTTTTCTACTTTTTCGACGAGTTTATACTTGTCATGGTTGCTTTGCATCGGCAGGGCTAGGGCTTTGACACTCTGATCTCGTCAATGTAAGCACATATTTATCATATATATTAGTTAATCTAGTTTGGTAGTTGAATTTACTTGTATCGGCTAAGATTCGTTTTAGGGTTTGTGTCAGCATCGGCTAAAATGTTGTACTAGATTAAATTAGCTAGGGTATCTAGCACCCTGAAAATCAATCAAGGGCTTGATTTTCTAGATATTATGTTTCCTTTCATACTTTGCGCTGCATCAGCCTTAGTTGTGCTTAGAACCATAACCTCTAGCCTGCTTTTTGATTGCCAATACGGATTTCATCGGAGTTTCAGCCGATGAGGTATCTAGACGTTGCATCGGCTTATAACGATTACATACAAGTTGGATTTAGCCGATCGTAACAAAGGTTTCATTGATTATATGATATCGGACCTCTAGTCGATGTCTGCTTTAACCTTCAGATCAATATTTATTCTATCATATCATTATTAGTCGATTGGTTCAATGGATTATATAATTATTGTTATTTATCCTCATCAGCCGATTGTCTCTATATCATTTATTTACTCAAGCATCAGACTCTGCATTGGACATACATCCGATTGATCAAAACCCTATTAGCATCGGCATCGGCTAGTATCGACATCGACTGGAATTACTCCATTAGCTTGTCAGCCGATCGGCTCATTGATCTACTATTTGTATATCTTGTCAGTTGCAGGATCAAACTGACTGGTACGCCCGTATCTCATCAACCTTTGGACCTACACTAGAGCTTAGCAGATCTCCCAGGCTGTTGTGTTCGTCGACTTAGTTCGTGCCCACACGGTTCTGGCACCATTGGCCAAATGCGGATTTTTCGAAAGGGGACTGTCTAGCCAATAGACAGCTGAAAATTTTTATGGTTTCAGCCGGATTTTTCCACCACACGATAAAACACGTGTCATGATCTGCCGCCTGCCGCCCACCTCTCGCGCGCCAGAGAGCCTGACGCTGTTTTGTACGGGTTCTTTCAGACTCTAAGCTTTGTCCCATTTGTTTGGCACACAACAAGTCCGGCAAAACATAATCTTTAGCAAGAAAAACAAGGGCAGCTCAAAGTACCAACAGTGCAACATGAATACCTCTGCCTCTGTCTCCTTATCCTACCAAAACACGGCATCCTTATTCCATAGCAATGAAGATCGATCATATGCACACAACAAGCATACACACAAAAATCTATGGCCTTGTTTAGTTTTAAACTTCTAACTTTTCCATCACATCAAAACTTTCCTACACACATAGACTTTCAACTTTTCCATCACATCGTTTTAATTTTAACCAAACTTCCAATTTTAGCGTGAACTAAACACAACCTATATTGGTTTGCTGGTAGCGTTCTGCAGGCTGCTCCAGTCAATCCCAGCAATGCCAATCCGCAACATCCTCTCCCAAACGATCTTCTTTGACCTCCGTAGTTCTGTAGTTTAGAGCATAATTAATATTGTCAACTCAGATGTGTTGCATTCTAAAGTCCAAAACCTGAAACATACCTGAAAACTTACTTTTCTCTGTTGATCTTTTATATGTTTGGAGCTAGTACTCAATGTGTCAAAGGTTGATAACTTTTTATTGTAAAACTAGGATCGTGGTGAGCGTCAGGGTCCAAGAATAACATCCCAGTTGTGCGACATCATGCCCCCATTGAACACTAGGGCCAGAAGAAAAAAGATCCAAGTATTACTGCAATATAGTAATAGTTATAATGGGTAAATTTGATCCATGTCATTGAGAAATTGTCGTATTGAAAAAAATGGCATTACTATTTGTGAAATGTACCGAATGCCCCTGAAATATCCTAAAATTTGAACCGTGCCATTATCACCAAGATTTTCCAAACCCATTCCATCATGATCTCACCGAAGCATCTCGTTGTCTTCTTCGTCAAGCCTAACGAGCAGCAGGCCAGCAGCCGGAGCATTTCGTCATGGATAAACTCGTCAGCGAGGCGCGGGTGGGCGGCCTCGACGGCAAGGCAGCAGCGACCAAACAACACGTGCATTTTGAAAGTGAACAAACAATTACACAGTTATGTGTTTCACAATATTTTTTGGCTTGATTAATATGTAGCAAAAATTTTAAATTATTTTGTTTATTATGGAATTAAAAAAATGTAATTTCATAATATGTAGCATATTAAAAAAAAACTCTCTGGTGCCCTCGCGTCGCCCTCGCGCGGCGGCTCGGGGGCGAAACCCTAGCCACCGCCGCCCCTCCCCCTCCCTCCTCCTTGCTTCGCCGCCGCCGGAGCTCGTCGCCGGCAATTCCGGGCGACGCGCTGGGATGGCGGCGGCGGGGCCATCTCTCTTGGCTCCATCTCGCCCTGGCGCGGGCGTGGCGACAATGGCGGCTGGGCGGCGAGGTCGCGGCGGCGGGACGGTGATGTCGCGGCGACGGCGTGGTGGTGGGGCTCTCTGCGGCATCGGCGGCGCGGCGGTGGGGCTCCGCGCGGCTCCGGCGATGGCGTCGCCAGTTCCGGTCGCCCCGCCAGATCTGGCCGGGGTGACGACGCGCGGCCAGTGACGGGCTCGGTCGATGCCGGCGCCCTCGGGCGTTGGCAGGTGGCTTGCAGCCCCCGTGCGGTTTCGTCGGCGACGACGGCATCGGGTCGGCGGTGGCTCGCATCCGGTCGGCGGCGGCTCGTCCAGTCGGCCGGCGGAGCGCGCCCCGGCGCCGACTGCCGCGTGGTCCTGGCCGGGGGCAGCAGGCCTGCTGCGGCTTTTGCCGGCGGCGGGGACGGCTCATCCATCCTCCTGTTCCTCCAGATCCGGTTCTCCCCGTCTTCAGTGGTTGTTCTTCCGGTGCTCTCTGGCGGTGCGGCGCCCGCTCCTTTCTTCTCAGGTGCTCCTCTCTTCTTAGGCTAGGCTGCTTCCAGTCGATGCCGGGGAGCTCCTTGGTAGAGGTGGCGTGCGGATTTTCGGTGTCCTGTTCGCTGGTCGTCGGCCGCGCTGTTAGTTTGCTGCAGCTGGGTTCCTGGGTGTGAGGTGGTCTCTGGTCGAGCTGCAGGGTGATTGGCTGTTGAGGCGGAGTCGGAGCTGCTTGTCTTGCAAGCTCGGCAACGATGACCCTCAATGAACGTCCCGGCAACGCGGCGAGGGTTTGGAAGTGGAGCATTTTGAGAGAGCCTCGGGTGAAAACCTTGCCTAGTGCTATCCTAGGTTGATGATATCGACGCTTGCGGGCGCCGTTTCCTCCTTGGAGGTATTGTCATGCTGGCTCTCTCTTCCTTCAGGTGAAAACCGGGTTCCTTTCGGAATGGGCGTTAACAGCATCCTTGATGTTGCTCCCTTGTTGAAGGCTTCGCTCAGAAGGTTTATGCTCAACTAGAGGATGTTTGGTGGTTCTGGAGACCTCGTTTGCATTATGTTGTTGAAGCTGCTTGCCTTTTGGTAAGCTTGGTAACGACGACTTTTGTGAGGTCTCTTTAGTTGTTTCTTTTCCTTTTCTGTATAGGTTTTTGCTGGTTTTCTGTTTAATTAACCGTGCTTGTTTGGTTTTCGGGCCCGGTTTCTCTTATTAACTGGGCCAATTCTCTTCTTCTATAAATTCCAGCAGGAGAAACTCCTGTCGTCGGTTCCTTAAAAAATAATATGTAGCATATTGATCAAGATAATTTCACTTCAATTTGCCACTACACCTAAAACAAAATTACAAATGGGACGCACAAAACTACATTTTTTTGAAAAAAAAATAAAAGTGACAAAAACAAAATACAAAACTACAAAATACAAAATATGAACTACTTCATTAATATGTAGCAAAATTTGGCCATCACTGCACTGGCAAGCAAATAACTATAGTAGCTTTTTGCAGAAACAAGAAAGAGGAACACCTTGAGCCTTGGCACGACGGTGCGCCCCTGCTATCGAAGAGCTCCTACAGCGTGACTGCGACGTCTCGCTGCCCTCCAAAAACGTCGCACCGTGCTCGTCGAGGTCCCTTGTCATCCAACCATACAGCTCCACCCGCCGCGACGACACGGAGCCACCTAAAACAAACAAACATGACCAAATAAAAAACTTCAGCGTTTGTTGTAATTTTTTAAAATAAAATTTAAAAAATTGACAAAATTAAAAAACAATAATAATTTCACATTAATTTGCCAGTACACCTAAAACAAAATTACAAAATGGACGCAAAAAACCACTAGTTTTGAAAAAAAAAATTAAAAACTGACAAAAACACACACAAATATGACAAAAACAAAAGGAACAAACTAAATTACAAAAAATATAAAAACTAACAAAAAAACAAAATACAGATTACAAAAATTTTAAAACTGATTAATATATAGCAAAATTTTAAAAACTAACAAAAACAAATATGAAATACAATGACAAAATACAAAATCATAGTTGCTATCAAGAAGATAGCGCATCGACTTGATATGTAGTAAAATTATAAAACTGACAAAAACACCTAAAAATTCGCTAACAAAATTACAAATGGGACACATAAAAATATTTCTTAATAAAAATTACAAAAACTGATAGAAGAACAAACACCATTTTGCTAATACCCAGTAAAATTTCCTGACAAAACTAGCCTCTGTTGACTGAGAAAGGTGAAACCATTTTGCAGGCAAAACAAAACTAATGCCCACAGCTAGAATTCTACTCACAAAACTAACCTCTATTGACTGATAAGGTGGTACCATTTTGAAGACAAAACAATACTAAGATTAGATACTTGATTGCAAAACTAACAAAACATAACATTTATGGATTATTGCAATAAAGCTCCAGTGAACTATTTGTAAACAAAATAGTTAAACATATCTGTAAACAAAATAATGTCCCCAATATGCTAGTGATTGCATCAATTTTTCAAAACAGATATTATAGATTTGTTCATGTCCACCAGATTTAATAAAAAATTCCACTAATTTTATCATCTAAAGCGACAAAGATTAATTCCCAAAAGGATAAAATGCTGAAATAAAAGATGTGCATATACATCGGTCCAAACCATGGGATTGTAAAAAAAAAAGATAATTTATATCAGGTCGAACTGTGCCTAGGGAGACAAAGCAGCATGGGGAAAAGGTACGCACAATCCCTAATTAAATTCCATTTGCATATGAAAATTGAGAGCACAGGCATTCAAGAAATAGAGGATATACTATAGGAAAAAAAGTACAAATTACTCCACCGAACTATCGTGGTCCACTAAATTACCCCCTAAACCATAAAACCGGATATTCTTCACCCCTAACTATATAAGCCGGACGAATTACCCCTCGACCCAATCTGCGGTGGTTTTGGTTTACGTGGCGTATGCGTGGCAGTCTAGTCATCATTCTATTTATAAAAAGAATGTGGGACCCACCTGTCATCCACTATTCCTCTCTCTCACTCTTCCCTCTCTCACTCTCTGTCTCACTCTTTCTTTCTCTCTTACGCGCACGGCGCCACGGCGGCGAGGACGGCGGCACGCACGGCAGAGCACCCGCAGCACGCGGCGGTGCGCGGCCTCGGCGCGGGCGAAGGCGCGGCTCACGAGCCTGCACGCCTTCCGGTCGCGCGGCTCCCTCACCCGGTCGAGCACCTGGCCAAGCAAATCTAGCGACAGCGCCGATGTATCGAGGAGGCTCCGACGACGACGACGACGACGACTCCACCGGCTGGCAATCCTTGCACGCGGCGGCGCACGATCCACCTCGTCGCCGCACTGGCAGATCGGTGGGAGAGACCTGTTGCAGATGGCGTTGTCGCAGCAATCTTCCCACGGCCTCGGGGTGCAGAAGGGGCCCGGGTCGGCTCCCCAGTAGACGTCGCTGCAGATGAGCAGGCCCGACGGCGACGACGCCTCCTCGACGTCGTTGCAGCACTCCCACGGCCTCTTCTTCGTCGGCATCTTGGGCGACTTTGCTCCGTCGCTGGGGAGGTGTATCGATTTCATTGTAACCACTATTGGATATTGCATTGCATTATAGATCAGGCCGATCAAATGTCACTCAAATTACGGCGCCGGATGATAATCATGAGAACAACCCGGTGCTCTATCGTTGGATCGCTGCAATGGATGGGAAAATCGTTTGTACCTTGGAGATCGGGGATAGACTGGGAATGCCGGAAGAGAAGCAACTGCTAGTCGTCGGTGGCGGAGGCGGTGGAGCGGAGGAAACCGAGGAGGCTGCGGAGCCCCCGCGCGCGGAGGAAGAAGAAGTCGGCCTTGGCATCGCGCAGCCCCGTGCGCAGCGCCAGCGTCACCTCTGACCTCCCGGTACAGACGCCGCCGCGCCAGCGCCTCCGCGAGCTCCCCGCCGCCGCCGCTGCCTCCCGCAGACGAAGATCCCTCCGCTCCCGATTTCGCACCCGTGCTACCTCCAGCCGCCGCCGCCGCCACCACCATCTCCTTCCGGCTCATCCCCGCTGGAGACACCGACGACGACGCGGAACTCGGCGTGGATGGGGCGGCGCGTCGAGGACAAGAGCGCGCGCGGCGGAGGGAGGTCGAGGCCTTGAGCCTGCGACCGCGTGCGTGCCGCCATCCTCGCCGCCGCCTCCGGCCCTTGTCCGCGTGCGTGCGCGTGTCGGCCACGCTGCCGTCCTTGCCGCCGCCTCCGTCCCCTGTCCGCGTGCGTGCGCGCCGCCGTCCTCGCCGCCGTGCGCGTGTCGGCCACGCCGCCGTCCTCGCCGCCGCCTCCGGCCCCGTCCGCGTGCGTGCCGCCGTCCTCGCCGTCGTGCGCGTGAGAGAGAAGTGAGAGGAAGAGTGAGAGAGGAATAGTGGATGACAGGTGGGTCCCACATTCTTTTTATAAATAGAATGCTGAGTGGACCGCCACGCGTATGCCACGTAAACCAAAATCACCGCGGATTGGGTTGAGGGGGGTAATTCGTCCGGTTTACATGGTTAGGGGTGAAGAATGTTCGGTTTTGTGGTTCAGGAGGGGTAATTCGATCGACCACGGTAGTTCGGGGGGGTAATTCGTACTTTTTCCTATATTATAAATCACATACTGCATCTCCATTCTATGCGCCAAATAGGATGTATTATAAAACCATCGATATAGCTAAATCACTTATATCATTGCACGGAACCAGTAGAAAAAACACAGATCTAATAACAAGGTGCGATAATCACATCAACGGTTCTGTCAAAAAAGGATTCACACCAACGGCAGCGGTGGAGGAGACCTTGCTTGCCTCGTCCCTGCCATTGGAAAATGCCTTGCCTACCTCTGTTGCTGCTGTAATCTTGCTGCGGCGGCGAGGCTCCAGACGCCGCCGTCGATGGCACCGCGGCGACGCCGACGATAATCGCCGTCTCTCTTCTCTGCGTGAGTGGGGGAGAAAAATGGGGACTCCAATTTTGAACAGTTACTGGGTGTTTGGCTTTGGACTTGGACCCGCGCAGCATCGCAGCATGTCAGTCCGAGGCCTATCTTGGATTCAGATCTAACAAAAGAAAACCGGTTCAAGTCCGGTTGCCTGGCGGGCCCGAAACCCCAGCACCAATCTTGAAGATTCCTACATTCCTACGATCTCAAATTCGGCTGATAAAACACAAAAAATCAGCAGGCCGTTATATAGCAAATTCGTAAGTTTGTTTTTTTAAGTATCTCTACATATGTACTTATCCGGTTGCAGGTTCCATCTCTACCACGTCCGCATCCGTACACACAATCATCACGTAGTTTGTGACGATCGACAGCTCACCGACGCGTCACTAGTTAACACTAAATCATACGTGCACACTAATTAGATTTTGTGCCTCCAAATACCGGGTCGACATATCTTCAGACGGATAAAATTACCACAAGTGTTTCTACTGTTGATGGAATAATACGTCGCCTAGCAGTTAGAACTCGGGACTTAATCTAGACCAGGTCCCAGGGCCCTCCTTACCATCCTAGGTCTTATATTCCTCCTTGGGAAGAGTGTAGAGACCTACAAAATTTACATCGCCGACCTATATAAGAAGAGTAGGAAGCCCTCAGAGGGCATAACCACAATCAGATCAATAGATCAATACACCAGGAGGATACAATCCACCAAAATAAAAGTAAGGTATTTCCTCTAATCAATGGGGCTTGAACCTGTCTAAACCTTTGTCTCTGCGCATGTATTCACTTTTAGATCTCGTGCATAGCTCTATAAATTAACATTGATAGTTGGCATTCTAGGTAGGGGTTGTGTCAAAGTATCTCGTCGACAAGCGCAATGGAATCAACTTCAAGAGTCGCTGGATATTTCTTCCCTCGAGGCAAGCTTTTCGCTTCAGTGACTTCGATTTCTTTGCCGATGACTACGTACAGCAAGCTTTCTCTCGCCGACTCGGATCCAAAAGGCGAGTTCTATGAACCACTACCATCTTCAAACCCAATTCTCACATTTGGTTATTGTTGACAGTCGTTAGCAATCAGTTTCGACCGTCAATATTACCAAAATAGAGGAGAACTAGTGATGCTTGCAATGCATATATCTATTAGAATAATAATATTCCACTAGTATTGGGTATACTAACCTTTTGCAGGGAATGACAATAAAGTGAAGGAGAATCGACATCAACTCAAACGATAAATCAATCGGACGATGTCGAGAACCAGACTTATGCATGAATGGGCCAAGAACTTAGAATTGACACGATAAACTGGGCCAAAATTCACAAGTCTGCGAAGAGAAGCAACAGAGGAGGCCGGCAGCCGAAATTTGGCTGGATCGGGCCGGCCCCAGGTTTGGCCGAACCAGGGGGTTCGGCTGAACCCTCCTTAGCGCCACCCGATCCAGGGCTTCGCCTGGACGGTGTGGATTAGCCCCCAATGACGGTTGGAGGGCATTTCCGACCATTCCAACCGCCACAACCGTCATTGGGAGGCTATAAAAGGAGTTGCCATTCTCACTTCACTCACACACCTCAAGCAATAGCTCTTTCATTTCTCTCAAGTTTAGTTTAGTAGTATCTAGCTGGTGGAATAGAAATAGAATAGGAGTCAGGAGTCCGGAAGCCTTCGGGAAGAGTTCGGGTAAGGCTCTAGCAGCTTTCCTTTCCTCTTTTGTAAGCTTTGTACTTTTATTAGAATACTCTTCTTTATACATTTATGGTATTGAAATATTTTCCGAGTATATGAGTACCTACTTTACATTATGTTCATGTTATACTGAATATACGGCTAGCTTATCTGGGAGATGCTTTGGTGCGGGTATAATGTTTGCTTATGCAATTACTCTATCATGACGATGATATTAGAGTATGGTGTCTAGATTACGAGATAACATTATTTGGGGTTATATATTGCGGATGAGAGGTGGGCCGCTGATGGTGACAGCTCAGTACGGGTATTCCTCCGTGCCTATATATAATCCTAAGTTAATTCCCTTGGAAGGGTATTCCTCCGTATTTAGCCCCGGTTGTATGGTCGTGATGGGCTGTCGTAAGAAACTCGGCAGTCAGGGGTGGCTTCTCGAAGTACCAGGAGGGCATCGGATAGAGGGTATTAGCTAGTATACCAGTTAACTAGAATGTATGTATACTATGTATAATTGTAGTATAGGAATAGATTTCCTTTCTCTTTTCTTTCCACTTAGTTTAGATGACATATTATGAGGATGAGTAGTTATGCTTGTGTGTCACTCTACCCTTGGATTATCTTAACCCCTGCTAGAATATGATTATCACAAGTAATATATAAATTATTAGCTGAGTTCTCTCTACATGATCTTCCCACGGGATAAAATAAATACGATACCCTTGTAATACTCTCAGGTGAAATGTTACAATGGTATATCCGTGCGCTTGCGGATAATCTCTGTAATCATAATATACTAGAAGTATTTCTGCGCCATTGCTGGGAATTATATTTCTAGTAATGTCGTTAAGAAATACCAACAATTATGAACTCCTCCCTAGCTTTATAGCCATGGTTTGGGACCAATCCTTCTCCAGACTTGACCATGAAAAATCTATACCACCATCTGCGAGAGTTTGAGCAACCGTGCTCGTGCATGATGATTTCAGGCATGACACAAGAAACTCTAAATAGGAAGTTGTTCCCGTTCTCTCATAGAGCGCAAAACAATGGTATATTATTTCCATAGTTAGTACAAATGGTAATTGGGAGGAGCTAAGAGACAAATTTTTATCTTGGTTTTTTCCCTTTGTCCCATGTCTTCCCCTAGAGAAGAGAGATTCTTTACTTTCGACAAAATGAGAAGGAGTCTATTGGTATAGCTTGGGCTAGGTTCTCGCTTTTAGTGCGATCTAACCTAGACTTGTCCATTCCTGATCATGTGTTGCTACAACACTTCTGTTTGGGTTTAGACAAGGAGTTTGACCATTATCTTGACATTACGGCTGAAGGATCTTTTGCCCATGAAACACTAGCTAGCCGAAGGAAGGGAAACCTTATATCACATCTTAGAAAACACTTCCTTCGTTGCCATATATGAGCCCCTCCAAGAGGTAAGCACGTCCAGCAATGAGGTGTCCAAGCCTATACAAATTGCATATTACTCTGCGCATCCATAATACATTTTGCACATTTGCCCGTTTCTAGTCTAAAATTCCCATTCTTGCTCCTTCCTTTTCCCATCTCCTCAACAACTCCAAACCAGAGTCCCCATTCCATAGTTCCCATTTGCTCCCAATCCTAAGGTTAATGTGAGAAGTGATGTGAGTGAGGGTGAGCTAGCTTGGGGCTTCTAGCTACGTCGTCTTCCTTGTCGCGGAGACGGCCACAACGGCGACGCCTCCCATGACCCATCAGGGGCGGCTGCTGTGTCGCTGTCGGCAACAGCTGCTACACCGCCCTCAAGGTTTTCGACAAGACTCAGCTACTGTCGCACGCACTGGGAGCTGTCTGTGCTCTACTGCCTCGCATGCCCACAAGCACAGCTGCAGGCTTGCAATGAGGAAGAAGAAATTTGTTGGTTGTTTGACTTGTTTCCTTGAAATAAGGTACATACACTACTAGAAAATCGATTTTTCATGGCGTTTGGAAAATATTTTTCATGGCGGCCATGTGGAAAAACCGCCAGCGCAGAAAATCGTGGGGGTGGGGGGTCAAGGGCCGCCAGCGGAAACACATCTTC